AGTAGCTCCTGGCCATACTACTAGGAGCAAGAAGCTACTAGTAACAAAGGCATTTCTACTAGGAGCAAGGACGCTACTAGAAGCTCTGGAGATCCGTTTCTGACGGCTGAGGTCGGATTTTCGACGCACAGCTCAAGATAGGTTTTCCGATTGAGGACGTAGTTCTTTACTCAACCGTCTGGCATCGTGGAAGCCTCCAAGGACGTGTTCAGTTACAGCAGATATCGTATTTTGCTTTGTTTCGTATCATATCTAAGAATTTATCTTTTCCATTGTCATTTGTATCTGACTCTGGGTGCTGCCAATCGATCTTGGATTCCCAACTCATGTATTTCGTAGAATGAACCTGGCGAGCTTACTCCTTTGTGGACAGGTGAACGGCTTCTTGTTGGCAAATGGTGATCGGCGGGGGCTAGGGTGTGATGGCTGGTACGGTGCATCAACGAACCCACGCTCAGTCGTCGAATCTCCAAGTCCCTTTCAACTGCTCTCGCCCCGCAAGTAGGAAGCGAAAACAATGATTTATAATGAATATAACGCTTCTGATTAGATGTAAGGTGTGCCTAATTGGTTGACATGTTTGGCTCAAGGCTCAAGGAAAATATTGCGTTACATAATTTCTGTTCATGGTAGCGGAGCTCTAAGCTCCTAGGACTTTGGTTGCTGAGCCCATTGGTCACTAGAGCTGGTTGGTGGAGGGATGGATCAGCAGCAACTGCTGCAGACGCTCCAAGACCTCCAAACGGAGGTGGGAGGCTGAGGCAAAGGGAGACAGAACTGACACAAACAGTGCAGCAGCTGGCAGCACCAACCTCTCCAGCCGGTTCGGCCGGAGTAGGTTCGGCGCTGGCCGACTTGCTGGTTGCCCAGAGAGAACTCCTTGAGGCCATGAAGTCCAAGGAGCAAGTGAAGCTTGTAGATAACAAAGGTCTGGGCAAACCGGAAAAATTCTCTGGTGATATTGAAAAATTCCTCCCTTGGAAAATCAAAACCACATCATACCTAGTGAGCATTCGAAAAGATCTCCGCGAAGTATTGGTGTGGAGTGAAGAATGTGATCAAGCGATCACAAAGGCCATGATGGACACAACATATGGCCATGCAGCTGACGAGCTCGATAGGATTGACAACATCCACGAGCTGAGCAAAGAGCTTTGGGATGCTTTGCTAATGCTCACTGACAAGGAGCCTTTCGACATAGTACTCAATGCAAACGAGTGCGGACTGGAGAGCTGGCGACGGCTCACCAGAAGGTACGACCCCAGTACTGGAGGGCGCTGCTGAACTCCATTCTTACGCCTTCACGGTCTAAGATGGAGGATTTGCCTTCGAACTTGGAACGTCTTTTGGATTCCATTAGGTTGTACGAGCGTCGCAAGGACGCATCGGGAAACAGACCAGTACTTGCGGAGGACATCAAAGTTAATGTGATCGAACGGCTCGTTCCAGCCGAGCTGGAACGGCGCTTGGTCCTCAACCGCGATCGGTTTCGGACGTTCGATGCAATGTTGGGTGAGATTCAATCCTATGTTGAACACTCGACTGGCAATCGCATCAAGGTGGTCAACTCACAAGGCCCTGGCGATCCCCATGGACGACCCGATGACCCCATGGATGTGGGGAGCAAAAAGGAAAGGGTAAAGAGAATGCTAAAGGGCAACCAGGGAAGGGTGAGCAGGCCAAGAAAACATGCTTTAATTGTGGCCGTCCTGGTCACATTCGAGCTGAGTGCTGGGCAGCTGGAGGACCAAAGGAGAAGGGCAAAGGCAAAGGCAACGACAAGAAACCCGTCGACAAGGGCAAAGGAAAAGGCAAGCCAGGTAAGTCCAAGGGCGGAAAGCCCAAGAAGAATGTGAACAACATGGAACAGGAAGGAGAAGAGCCAGAAGCTGAGGATTGGGACGCAGCTGAAGCCGAGGATACCGGTGAAGCTGCAGCCTATGGATTGACCTTGTACTGTTTGGACGATGATGAAAGCGACAGTTGGGAAGATCCTAGGCACATCACTGAGAATGAGGCCATGGATCGTGGTCTAGAAAGCGACGTGGATTATGGTTCCGACGACGGAGCTGAACCTCAACCATCTCAGCTGGTTCAGCCGGGATCGGTGAATGAGGAACAGGCCTCGTCATTGTATCATGGATCGCGTGCGGTGCCTATGGCAAAGTCGCCTGGGACACCGGCGGGATCACCTTCACCAAGTCCTGATCTTTACGGTGGATGGCCACCAAACACTCCAGAAGGACCACCACCTGGTTGGAAACCGCCGGAACCCAAGGGACCACCGCCAAAGAGAGCCAGTGCAGTGGCAAGCACAAGTGGGTCAAGAATGATCGCCATGTTGAAGGCAGCCTTGGGAACACAGCTGATGTTGCAACCGGATTCGATGGAGGATCCTGAGGCGAAGGCAAAAGCCAAGGCTATGATGTCGGCTTTGGCCAAACGACCCCCACGAGCGCCACCTATCACCAGTGAAAACATCAATGACTTCACATTCCACGACTCTAGGTACCATGCCGAGATCGAGAAGGGCGTGCCCCACAATGTTGCTTGGAGAAATGCGCGGCAGAGGAGAAGAGCGATCGTCCACAGAAAACAGGGGACGAAGGAGAGGGCAATCGAGCGCCAGAGGCTCGACTTGCAATGGCATGAGCGCTATGACAACCCTGAAAGCGCTCATGGCCCCGAACGCATTGATGAGGACAACCTGAACTGTGGTGTGGAAACCGTGGTTGTGGGCAAAGCTGGTGGCACGACTGTGACTCCATTTGGGGGGCGAGAGAGAAACGACTTCAGCCAGTTCCCACAAGAAGAGCGAATGCTGTTGAACAGTGACCCCAACAAGAAGCAGAAGGACAAGAGGGTGCGATCCATGCAGTACAGGCAGAAGAGGAATCGAGCCAGGAACCATGCAAGGAAGATGGCGCGTTTGAACCGTGAGCCTTTAGTGCTTAAGGAGAATCCCAACTGGAAAGAGGAGGATGACAATGAGGATTTTGAGATTGATGACTTCAGTCCACCAGATAAACCACGTGATCAACATGGAAGTGGAGGCCCTGATGGAGGGTTTGGCGCGGCCCCGGCTACAGTTTGCAGCTTTGGAGCCGATGGTGCCTGGGAAGGCTGGCAGTATGCCGAGCTGAACCTGGACACGGGTGCTGCGATCACTGCAGTGCCTGCCGACTTTGCGAAGGGCTATCCACGAAATGAGCCCAATGGTGCAAACTACAAAGCGGCGAATGGCGAAGCCATCCAAGACCAGGGCGGTGTGACTTTGAGTGGAACAGACAAGAACGGTATTGAGATCCCTTTGGACTGCCGAGTCTGTGCATCGCCCGCTACTTGCTGGATCCGACGTGGCAAAGCATTACCACATCGCTTTGGGGCCACAATCTAGACGATTGACTCCAAGGAACACTGAGGCAGGCAAAGCCTATGCCAAGGCAATGAAGGAGTTGATTCAGACCTATGGCCATGAGATGCCAGTAGTGTGCAATCGCCGTGGGATCTATGTGATGGACTACTGGGTGCCACCTTTCAGGCGGCATCCAAGCATGGAGTAAGGCCGCAAATCAACGCCGTAGGCGATTCTCCGGCTGGTTCAGCTGGAGGAGATGGCGTGGCGGATGCAGATGTTCCAGCCGCTTCAGCTGGAGCAGGGACAGATGATGAAGCGACGGAAGAGCAAGTTGATATGCAAATTGGTGAGGAACAGAGACAGGCGATCATCAAGAGAGAACCGCATCAGCCTACACAAGCTGAGGTGGACGAACATGAAGCCACAGGGCGTGCGGTTCATCGCAGCTGGTGTCTTCATTGCAAAAGAGCGCGCAACAGCTGACAGACACCCAAGCCGTGAGCTCGATGAGGATGATACACAAATGCCAACCCTGTCCCTTGACTACTTTTACATGAACCAGAACACCGAAGCGACACTGCCACGCATTGTGGTAAAATGCCACAAGACCAAACGCTTCTGGGCGTCCGTGGTACCGAAAAAGGGCGATGATCCGTTTGCTACAGCATGGCTGGGGGGTGTTTTGGACGATGCCGGTTTCACTAAAGTACTCTTAAAGAGTGATGGCGAGCCGGCTCTGGTAACCCTTAAACAACGAGTTAAGGAAACCAAGACCCATATAGAGATCCATCTAGTGGAAACCCCTGTAGATACCCCAGCAGCTAACGGATACATAGAGGTAGGAGTAAGAGAAATCAAAAGGCAGCGCAGAGCTCTCTTGAGCGATCTGCAAACAAAACTGGGGTGGAATGTGGAAGCCAGCCGCCCGTTGATGGTATGGCTACCACGCCACGCAGCGTTTCTTCTCACCCGGTACAGAGTAGGAACAGACGGCAAAACAGCGTTCGAAAGAACATACGGTAGGAAATGGCGAATCCCATTGGTCAGGTTCGGCGAAAGCATTCTGTACAGACCTCGTGCAAACAGAGGGGGCGCCGACGGAATGACTTAGCGCCACGCATCTCAATCGGGGTGTATGTAGGGGCCGGCAATCGCAACTCTGATGTGTTTGTCATGACCCAACGTGGAATCATGAAAGGGCACTCCATCCATAGGAGGCCGCCAGACGATCAGTTTCAGCGCGAGAACTTTGCTGAACTCCGTGGACTGCCATGGAGATTGCAGGAAAGAGAGCATGGGGGGTTGCGAATAGACCTTCCAGAAATGGCTATCCCAAGAGGGAGGCCGCCCGTGAAGAAGTTGTTCCCCGAAGCTTGTACGTGACAAAGGCCGACCTCGAAAGGTTCGGTCGAACACCTCTTTGCCCCGGCTGCGAAGCAGCCTTGTTGGATCTTCCAACCAGGGCGCGCAACACGGAGTGCAGACAAAGGATCCAAGTTGAATCGGACAAAACACCAGAAGGGAAAGAAAGAATCAAACGCGCAAAAGAGAGATTGGAGGCCGGGAAAAGGCCGAGACAAGCTGAAACAGCGGCTGGTGCAGGACCCCTGCCACCAGCACCTCCTGGTCTAGGAGGGGAGGCTGAAGGTGAGGTTTTGGTGTTGCGTCCACGGGTGCCACTGGATGTTGAGATGGCTGCAGGAGAGGCAGCTGGTGAACCGCTCGCTGATGCTGAAGCGGGTTCAGAGATCAGACGAAGAGAAGTAGAGAGAGAGGACAGCCCTAAGAGAAGAAAGGGTGGATCTCCCGTCCCGAAGGGCGAGAAGAGAACAGCGCAAGTTGAAGTGGAAGAGCTTCATGCGCAGGCTCAACAAGCTGGGGGGCCAGCATCGGGTTCGACGGATCGACCAGCTCAGGACGCTTCGTCTGGAGCTGTGGTCGCAGGATCCGCGCCTGCTGGAGAACGGCAGCAAGAGTCGAACCAAGAGATGTTACATCTGTGTTCGCTGCTAAGAGAGGTCGTGGCAAGAGGAAAGGTGGCTGAAATCTTCTCGCCGCCACGGGTTGCAGCACAAGCCCAAGTTGTGGGGCTAGCGCCGGGATTCTCAATTGACCTTTCTACTCAACGCGGAGACGGTCTACATTGGGACCTGAGCAAGGACTCACGCGTGCAAGATCTGATGCAGCTCATCGAACATGAGCAACCTGAGTTCCTGGGTGGATCACCGCCTTGCGGTCCATTCTCCAAGCTTCAGAACTTGGTGGACGCCAGGAACAACGTGACGAAGGAAGTGCGGGCCAAGAGGCTTGCTGCTGGGAAGAGACATCTGCGAACAGCAGTGACGTATCGTGACAAATGGATTCAGGAAGATACTTCTATCATGAACACCCAGACGGATCCATGTCATGGGAGGAATGTGCCATTCAATCTTTGCGAAAGGGCCCAAGAGTCTCTGAAGTAGCCGGCCCAATGTGTCGTTGGGGCATGGCTGCCTCAGACAGCCAAGGTCCAGGACTGGTTAAGAAGCAGACCCGTTGGCTAACCAACTCACCAGTCCTCGCGGGAATCTTGAATGGAACTTGTTCAAACAAAGATGGCCGAACTTGGCGCAGACACGTGCATCTGGTCGACGGCAGAGCTCGTGCCGCCCAGGTGTACCCGCCACGGTTGGTTCACGCCATTTTGGTGGGAATCAGACAGCAGTTGGAAAGAGATGGTGAAGTTCAGTCTTTTGACCACAACCCCGTACCTGACGCGGGCCTCGTGATCAATGAAGAAGAAGAATACTACAATCATCTTCCAGACAGCGACGAGCACATCGCTGAGCCAGTGATCGATGCGCGCACTGGAGCCGAGCTCGACGTTGAGAAGGTGAAGGAAGCTCGCCGAGAGGAACTTGCATGGGTACATCGTCAACAGATTTACGCCAAAGTTCCGACCAAAGAAGCCCAAAGAGCAGGAAAGCCCATCATCAGCATGAAATGGATCGACCGGAATAAAGGCGACAATGAACATCCAAACTACCGTTCACGACTTGTTTGCCGTGAAGTCAAAAGGGCCAAGAACGCAGAACACATCCCTGAGTATGCATCGTTTTCTGCGATGCCACCGCTCGAATCTCTTAAGATTCTTCTGTCTCTGATGGCGACGTTGAGGAAGTCAAAGCTTTCATCTCCCTTGAAAGTGAAGCTCCTTGACATCTCTCGCGCTCATTTTTATGGGGAGGCAGAAAGGGACGTTTTCGTGGAATTGCCTGAAGGCGACCGTACGCCTGGCTACTGCGGCAGACTGCTGCGTAGCATGTACGGCGCCAGAGATGCTTCGGCAATCTGGCAGAGAAGCTACACAGAAGTGTTGCTGGCTGCAGGCTTCGTCAAGAACCCAGCTTAGCCTTCGTGCTTCTACCATGCTGCCAAGGATATCCGCGTATTAGTACACGGTGGTGATTTTGTAGCGCTCGCCGATGAATCTGGCCAACAGTTCTTAGAACAAACGCTTCGAAAGAAATACGAGCTGAGAATCGATGGAGCAATAGGCCCTGGAGAACCCAAGCAGCAGTTCTCTGTGTTGAATCGAATTGTGACCTACAGCGAGCAGGACGGTTCCGTATCCTATGAGGCCGATCCTCGTCACGTGGATCAAATGGTTCGGGACTTAGAGCTCGATAGTTGCAAGCCATCGAGGACTCCATCACAGAAGATGTCTGCAGCAGACGCGCAGCTGAAGATGACTTCAGCCACCATATCACCTGACCGTGTAAGTTTCTTCCGGTCATTGGCGATGCGTGCATCCTATGTAGTGCAGGACAGGCCAGACATCGCTGAAAGTGTGAAATGTTTGTCAAGACGAATGCATGAACCCAAAGAATGTGACTTTCAGGAACTGAAACGCTTAGTGCGCTTCCTGAAAGGCAAACCACGTGTGTTGCTCACATACCATCCCCAGAAGTTCGCTGACACGATTCACATGTATGTGGATTCGGACTTTGCGGGGTGTTTGCTGACACGACGCTCCACTAGCGGACTAGTTGGGTGTCTGGGCAGACACACTGTGAAGACCTTGAGCACCTTGCAGAGTACCGTCAGGCTTAGCAGTGGCGAAGCTGAGTTTTACAGCATTGTCAAAGGAGTTTCGATTGGCATCTCCCTGCAAGAGGTGTTGAGAGGATGGGGCTTGGAAACGAAGCTCCAGCTACACACCGACAGCGCAGCCGTCGTTCAAGTACCTATCTCGAGGAAGCATACTTAAGATAGGGACTTCTGGAGTTATGTTCGACCATATGGGAGCGATGCGCGGGAGATAAACTTACCGTTCCGGGACCTGATCGGCTTATCTCTGCTCCTGACCAGCCACGTACCCGGACGTTGAAGTCCTCATCTCGCAGACATGTCCGTTAGAGAGTGACTTCTAGGGTTATGTTACGTACCGCTCAGTCCCTATCTCGCAGACATGTCCGTTGGATAGTAACTTCTAGAGTTATCTTACGTACCCATTCCTGGGCCTGACCTGCTTATCTCTGCTCCGGACCAGCCACGTTCCCGGATGTTCTAGTCCCTATCGCGCAGACAATATCTTCACGCTATTCCAGTCCCTTGGGAGCCTTCGTTGGACCATGTTTACGACGTTCAAGTACCTATCTCGAGGAAGCGTACTTGAGATAGGGACTTCGGGAGTTATGTTCGACCATATGGGAGCTATGCT